TGCGGCAGAAAGCTGCATGCGCACGGCCCCGAGAAAAAGTTTCTGACGATCGCTCTGCCCGCTTTTCTGGAATGGCGACAACCTCCTGCGACTCCTGCGCAAGAGAAGTAATCAGGCAGCTCTTGGAAACTCTGAACTGCCATGTTTTTAGAGGTAATATGCTGCTGCTACGGGTTCAATATGATGTGGCTGCAGTATCGTATTTCGTCTCAGTTTACATCAAGTTGAAGTGAAGTGACTTAATAATATTGTGGGTTTGAAGTTTGAAGTAGTAGCTGAGTAGCTGATAGATTGACAGGATAGCAGTCACGCAAGGACATGTGTCATGGCACTGTTACGATGTGGTGACATGGCATGTCTGACTAACTACTATGAGTCAAAAAAAATCCCCGCCCATGGCCAAGTCAAACTAGGAAAAAAACAGAGACTGTCCTCTTGACAACTAGGCGCACCAGGCGCTTGGACTGAAGCACTGCTGGCCTTGGACTGCACAGAGCCCCTGCTACTTCGGTACAATGCCCTCATTGCTTCAGCTACACGCGTCCGAGTTCTTGATGTACTTCAGACTACACTTAACTAAAAGCTATTCGCTTCAGATGTCAAATCAAATGGCTCAAAAAACCCAACTATCACAAAAAAATAAATTACAGCCTTTAGCCTACTACTACTACTGCTGCTACTGCTACTTCTGCAGTCAACGTCAACAGGCAATTTGCCATTGGAATCTGTGTGAAATTTGAACCATCAAGTCCTCTGCAGCTGGAGCAGTTTGAATCATCACCTGGGAGTCACCTACAGTATTACCTAGCGCCATCTATCATCTGTCTATCATTATAAATTATCAATATAAAATATAGAATATCATCCATTATTCATCTATCATCTCTCAATCATCTATCATCTATCACCTATCAGTCATCATCTGTCATCATCCCCCTCACCTAATTCATGATATGATTGTGTCATCTGTCATTTCATGTCATCACCTGCTTGCCCATGCCCGGGCCTTAAATCCCGCTGAGGACGACGTTTTCGCCGCTCGTTTGGTCATGCCCATGACATTCTCCAGGATTGCAATCCTGAGCGGGCGCAGCACACCCGCCACAGCACACCCGCCAAAGAAAAACATAATAACGCAATGTGAAAGGAAACGTATTGCAACTGGTTTTCTTTGGTGAGTTTGCACGAATCCATCGTGACGACTCGATGAAAGGAAGTGCTTTGGCTGCCTTGGCTAAGACAGACAAATACATCAGGCTCAGATGTTGTAGACACATCATATGATATGTGTTCTCCAGAGTTCTCCAGTTCTCCAAACGAAAAACAAAAAAAGAATCTGCAACTCGCATTCTTAGTTACTACCTTTGGGTCTTTGGAACTGAAGAGGTTTTTGACATTCCCATCTGCATATCTTGTCGAACTCTCCTGCGAGAAGAGTTTGCAAGTGAATCCAGAGATATATATATATATATATATCCACTGGCTCCTGGCATGGCGGCAGGACAGTTGGTGTGGAAGAAATGGCAACGCATGCGCGCACAAATTATGAATCAGGTGTGCACATTGCCAATCTCATGTCAGATGTGTATCTAGTTGTCAATAGATAGTGAGAATGAGAGTGGCAATATTTTATGTTCAATCAGTCAATCACTGATTACTGTAAGAGTAAGAATGTAAGGTCTGTGTTTTCCATCCGCTACCACACCCACTTCCCCATGCGAGTCCTGGTGAAATTCATGCACTGGAGGGCATTCTTCACGGTGTACTGCACAAGCTCCGCCAGTCCTGAGACACAAAGACTGCATCCAAAGATTTACTGACATCTAAACGCCGGTGTAGATAAATATCCATAGCTTAGCTGATATTGTAATGAAACAGTATCATATCAATTCGTTGGTTTGCAACTGTAATGCTTCAAACTGTCACCAAAACTGTACTGTTGATCAAAACATGCCTAAATTTTTGAACACGTGTAATTTAATGATATATTAAAGACAAAGAATTAAAGAATCATATTATAATTTTTAGTGTATTGTATAATTAGAAAGTGTTTTAAGTATAAGTTATAACGTTTTAATTTATAGTCAATAGTTTCAATCTGTCCACAGTAGTACCACCTAGTCAGCTTCAAAGAAGAAACCCGCCCAAGCCCACCCACAGCAATTCGATGAGTTTTTGCAGAGAAATAAGCTTATAGAGAGATAATCAATGAGAGACCAGATAAGAAGAATACTCAGCAGTCAAGCTTAGCTTCCTAGCCGAGAGCATGTTGTGATACAGGTGCTCGATGTTGTAGTTCTCCAACAGGAAGGTCCTCGCCCCTGCCTCAATCAGCCGTCCGATGCAGCAAGATTCAGATAAGATTTCTGGCCACGAATTATAAATTATAGATGAGCTGAAGCTGAAGTGAAAAATCCACGTGTCATCAGTAATGTAACTAGTGATGTGGATGGCAGCCTATATCTGCTACCTGCACAACATGACCTGTACAACAAAGCACGTCAGATCACATAACACCACCATCAAAAACCTATCGCCGACATCGAATCATATCATCCTGTCGATTTTGATCCACATTGAAATATATAATATAATATACAACATAAAATAATATAATGTAATATAATATAATACAATATGTTTTTTAAATAATATAATACAATACAATAAAATAAAATATAATACAATTCAATATGATATAATATTGTTATTTATTTTTTAAGTTATGGTTATTATGATACGAGTATGAGATACCAATCACATCAAGCCAAATTAGCCCAAAATCTAGTCATGGACCCAAGGTGCATGGATCTCACTGGCGAACAGCTCCTTGTAGTTTGCATCCCCAACCAGCTGTGCCAAAGCGTGGCATGGCGCGCCAGATCCAGAACAAGCGGTTCCAACTACCTGAGCATGGGAAGGGTGGCTGCATGTGTAAAATCGCCGTTCGGAAAATTGAAGAGCCGAAGGAAACAACTGTTCGGAAAATTGAAGAGCCGAAGGAAACAACTGCATCATTGCATCATCCTCACTAAGGAAATCTTGAAATCACCAGAGAAAACAAACCAGTTTGCAAGTTACATCCTGAAACTACCTGAAACTACCATCTGCATCCGACATCACTAGACACAGCCCCTCCCTCACGAAAGGCGTGATTGGCGGTTGTTTTCCTAAAGTGGCAGAGCAAATGACCTCGTCTCATTGTATACTTCTGTATACTGAGAGATATTGACCCCGGTTCCGTGTTGGAAGCTAAGCTATCTCAAATCTCAACATCAGCCGCCTTTCAACATCAAGAAGTGGAAGGCGCAAATCAAAATGAGACAATTGAATTGTATGACTGTATGACTCTAGAGACTCTATGACTCAAACAACAAGTTTGAGTTTGTACATCAAAAGTTGCAGTGCACCAATGACCAGTGGGAAGATCGAACTTGTGTGTTGGGAATGCCATACCTCATTCCGGGATTGAACCGCATTTCCACATGCAGTGTGTGCTCAAAAAAAACCGTGATGACCTCTCTGCCCGTCACTCCTGGCAAGTGCGGCCCTCCACCATCAGGTGGCTGGCTTGGAGGAATTCCCCAGGTAGGATCAGGAAGCATCCCACGCTCAATTTCCGTAGCACCACGGTCCCACGCTGAACGCCAGGACTGCTCTGAAATGTTTGAATCACTTTGCATTTCCAAGTCATCGCTTATCTGGCTATTCACAGACGAGAAGTCACCACCCTGAGCACCTGGTTCTGGTTCTACTAGGTCAACAGTGTACGAAGGATCTGATGATGATGACGAGAAGTCACCACCCTGAGCACCTGGTTCTGGTTCTACTAGGTCTACATTGTGCGAAGGATCTGATGACTGCGAGGAGAAGTCACCACCCTGAGAACCTGGTTCTGGTTCTACTAGGTCTACATTGCGCGAAGGATCTGATGATTGCGAGCAGTCACCACCCTGAGCACCTGGTTCTAGTTCTACTAGGTCTACACTGCGCAGAGGATCAGAATCAGGATGAACAACCATGATGACATCGTCATCGTCACACTCTTCATCTGAGGATCCAGTGTCCAGATAAATTGTAACCACCATGGCACTACAAGCAAGAAGCGCCGCCTCCAACAACGCGCCAGGCTACAGCTACGCAGTGCTGTGGGCCAGAATCTTTCAGTTTGGCCAATGACTTGTTGAACAACTTCACAACTCCGCGATCTGGTGGCCTACCATGCCTGCCTGCTTTTCAAGAGAAAAGAACTTTACAATACAGAATGCATTTCAGCCTAATCTTCCAAAGAACCCCAAATCCCATTTTCCCTGACCCCCAACATGCGGGCAAGATGCCAGGCGGTCATCACCCAAGGAGGTCTGAAAATGACCAGTGCAGAGGCCCACACATTCCAGAAAGGCAGTTGCCCACGCCAGAAAACCGGGAGCGTCACCACCATTCTCGGAAGAACTGACGCTCCGTGAGCGTGATCTAGACCGTGAGCACCTTCCGAAGAATTCACAAAGCTTGGTGAATAGTGAATTCTGAATGCTGAATAATTTTTATGATGTTCTGTAAAAGTATCAATAAATATAAGTCTCAGTCTAAGTATGGTTTTATATGATATGTATTCTCTCACCTTTTTACAATTTCCTTGTGGAAACAGGTGCGTGTGGTTTTTGGCATAAAATGCAGCCTTGGCGGCCCATCCAACGAAGCATACAGGTCACGCAATCCCCCCGCAGGCTCAGGTGCATCAGCACGGTAAAGGGATGACAACGGCATGGCCCGTCGTGCAACTGGCGGATGGCCAAATGCAGAGATACAGTTGGTGGTTTGTTCCAACTGGGATCTTTCAAATCTTTCCATGTCAGCTCAGAGAATGGGGATTGTAGCCCTCTGCCATCACTGTTTGTCAAAAAAATATGTAGGGTTGAAAGATCGGAGCAAACTTTTATCTACACCACTGTGATCAAATTAGTGTACCCAGAATACACCTTGCTGAAGTGTTGAAAGATCAAAAAATAGTTAAGATAGTTAAGTGAGCGGTGCCTGACATTTGCAGCACTTCGAACCAGCATGGCCATGCAAACGGCCAAGCTATGTGATTTGTTTCGCGCCCTTGGGAAAGGGCCATCATTCCTCTCAGCTCATCCCCCCCGGAAAAAAATATTATGAATCAATGAACCACAGAAACATTGACAAACACCTTTGCCACCAGCGGATCTTATCTGACCAATTTAAGTTATTTCTTGGGTCATACCTTATTATTTCCAATTTCCAAAACTTCAAAGTTAAAATTAAGTGAGGTCGTCTTAAAAACGAAATTAGTGTGACGTCGTTGTCCAGGCTGAGGTCGTTGAACATGCTTTGCCTGGCAGCATGCATAGCTAATGACAAACATAGTGGTTTTGAGGGTCGGCGTTTGTTTGGTGGCCAATATATATATAAATACGCATATATAAAAATATGTTATGTATATAAGTGTGCAATACGTAAAAAAAAATATAATTTTATATAATATGTCCAAGTAGTACGTACATAAATCCATCCGTAAGTATCATGATCCCATTTTCCGTGCTTTAAATCCACTAATAATTAATAATTACCTAGGTAGAGATCTCGTAAGTAGGTTCATGCACTGTTGGAGAGAAAGAGCAAGATTTAGAAAAAGAGAAATGGAGAGAGAGAGAGAGGGAGGGGGAGAGAGAGAGAGAGAGCAGCCCCGCATGAAGCAACCAAGACCGCATAAAGTAGCCGGAACAGCTATCCCCAATCGCGTAGATCGCTCATCTACACGCGTTTTTGTGTTTCCTGGGTGCGGCGGCCCCGTGGAAAGCAAGCAAGGCCAGAAACCAGCGTAGCCGGAACAGCTATCCCTGTTTCTGGCAACGGCAAGGCCCAGCACAACACGGACCTGTTCCTATTTTCAAGGCATAGGACCGTCTTGTTTTCTTCGTCCCTAAGCTTGGTGCGGTTTTCCACCGCGCCCTCCCAAGATAGAAAAGAATTGGAAGCCAGAAAGCCATGCCGAGGAAACACATTGTAGTGTGCATGTGATTTTCTTCACTGCCCTTTCAGCAACCCCAAGCACTTTCAACTCTCTTTCCAACATCCTTTTCATCTCTCCCCTCTCACCCGGTCGCGCCTCAAACAGCTCGTTGTCAACCATGCACATTTTGCGAGCAAGCGGGATCGGGCACAGGTAGGGTCAGGTACTTTATGTACACGTTACATATCCCATCAATTTCGAAATTCTGCCTCGTTAATTTTGGGGTGACATCGTGACGTCGACTTAAATCGTAATTACAGATCTTATGAACCAGCCCTAGCATGCCCTGGGAGACAAGAAACACCACTGAACATACCCATGTAATCATCATATAATCATTTATAACACCTATATAAATAAAACACCATGCCTTGGAGACTCAAGGAAAAACAAAAAACACCACTGAACATATTCATATAATCATCATATAATCACCAATATATAAAACACCATGAGTGAATAATATTGACTAAACCCCATTTTTATATGAATCATGCACCATTGAAAACCCCGTTTTAACACCCAGGAAACCACGAAAATTAACACCCAGGCCCCAGAATCCTGATTTATGTTATATGCATTATAGGGGTTTTTCAAATTATTACAAAACTTTAGTAAACAGTTTCAGTTCCAATCCCCTTTCCACTTAATCCCTCGCTCTTGAGTTCAATTTCTTTTTTCCGCATTGCTGGATAGTTTGATGCCATGTCAAACCAGTGTTTTCTGGTTAACTCAAATCCATCTATGTCAATGGACTGCATTTCCCCCCAATTAAAATTAAAACTATTGACATTTGATGGATAATAACGCCAATCTACCCCCTATTACCAAGTGAGATTTTCCAGCAATTGGAAATGAGTGGAGTCACTACGGTTGTATCTAATGGCAACTGGCTATGTCGGAAGAGTCCATGGGATCTGGACATCAGGCGGATGCAACGTCGGATGCTGGACTTTCATTTGTTGAGCCAAAGATATAAAATCTAGATCACCTATTTAAACCGTCATATACAAGGAAACCAAACAACTTTATAAATAAACATATATAAATATATGTCTATATCTATACAAACACCTATACAAAAACACATATAGTAAAAACATCCGCGCATCCGAGCGGAGACATGTCAAACGTCAGTCTCTCTGAAACATGTTGAATCGCTTCCCTCTTTTTTCATCTGCTGGATGACTGATTGATCTGATTCAACGCGTTTAATTCCAAGTTGAACCATTTGACCTGATGGCTCAAGTACCCCCTCCAGTTGAGAGTAGGTTGAGGCCAATAAAATATGGTCCCCTAAGGAGAGATAACCCACGTCAGTGAGTCCAGAAAACCAATCACAGAAAAACCAGAGAGAGATTAAAATGTGAACGTCACACCACACAAGCATGGAAAAATCACATGCTCTCAAAGCAACACAAAAAACAAACGTGATAAGACTCACCGAGTGTTCCTGCTATTCAGGACGTGTTGGAAACATAAGGGTCCTTGGAAAATGGTGACCCTTTCCAAGATCTTCCAAATGCATGAGAGTGATTGTCTCATTAGTGATTTCTCATCCTGCCGACTGGATGAAATAAGTCAGGTTGATTCTGACTGGAGTGTTGCGACAACTGACGCCGCAAGGTATTGGGATTTTCCCCATGTGAAATAGGGTGAAACTAAACCCACGCCGAATATTAATCGAAGAGAGACATAAGAAAAAAGGTTAGGGAGGGAGGGACACCAAAAAACGTAAGAATACACATGAAAGTCCTTGAGCCAAAATGGAATATCAAACAAAGAAGATCCTTGCAAAACAAAATGAAAAAGTACATTAAACGTTCTTCAAGGACTTTCATTTGTTGAGCCAAAGATATAAAATCTAGATCCCTCACCCTCACCTATTTAAACCGTCATATACAAGGAAACCAAACAACTTTATAAATAAACATATATAAATATATGTCTATATCTATACAAGCACCTATACAAAAACACA